CAGCCATAGGAAATCTAGTAAGCTTGGTTGTTTTGTCTGGGAATGATGTAGTATGTTTGATTAAATGCATGCATTGGTGCAGTAGAAGCGTTCAGATCCTTTACATAAATAAAAGTATCAACAATAGAAAAACTGGCAACTTTCACAGTTATTTTATTATATATTATCTTTTGGGATCACACTTGTACAGGTTTGACTGGTTTAAACTGTAACAGTGCATCGTGTTTTAGAAATATCTGTTTTTATGCGTAGACTCATATTCTCAAATACTTGAGTAAAATACAAGTACCACAATCCTGTAGCTCGAAAAGGTAAGAGTTTATGCCATGTTTGTTCTCATTCAAACATAATGTGTGCAGATGTCTTGGTCCCTGAACACAAAACTCTTGCCACCGAATTCACACGACTGCATTTAGACAGATTCTTGCATGTGTCTGCACATTTGCGCCACCTGAATGCATACACTGTCTATCTTCTCTGGTTCTTCTCTTGAAAATATAGCTTTAGTTAAGTTTCTCAGGCAAACCAAAATCTCCACTGTTCTCTCTGTGCTGCCCACAATGGCTGTGATTTCCCCACTCGCCTGTATAAGAAACTCAAGTTTCTGACCTCCTGTTGTGATGCGTGCCTACCTGGTGTGTCTGTGTTTGTGTGCATAAGCATGATGGATAGATGCGTGTTATACAGAAGTATAAACAATAATTCAAAGCATCTTTTTTTCTCAGCACAGGCTTCTGAATCCACCACTTCTGCCAGCCAAAGATTTCAGAAAATGACAGATTACCTCTTCCAATCCCTTTGTTTCAACGTGAACATACCTCGCGCTGTATGCACAAATTTATGTTTGTGTGTCCACACCTGAGTATTTGAGCAGAGGTGAATGTGTTTATCTGTGCATGAGGCTGCTGTAATTCCACAGTAAAGGTGCCCCTGCAGCCCCAGCCGCTGCACTTGGCCACATGACGCATCCCCTCATTTTATTGCGTCTTGTGCCTGACTGGAAAACTGCTGTGGCTGTTTGTCTGCGTTGACTGATCAGAGCAGCTCATTGTGTCTGTGAGTGTAAACTTTATGTCAACTGAAAATAAGCATCAATAAATACCGCAGGGCCTATTATTATTACTGGATGTGTTTTGGGGGAGCAGCTGCTGACAGGTCTGTGAGTTGGCTGATAAAATGCAGTATGTCAGTGTGGGAAATTCAAGAAATGTCTCTTTAGTGTGTTATAGTATGACAAGTTAAGAAGGATGGTCAAAGGGTCTACTAGAACAGGGTCATCCGATTAATGGATGTTATAGCAACAGATACCACATGACAGTCATTAACATTCTGGCCTTACATTTGTTTAGAAACATTAGAAACAATTATAGGGGAAAACAGGTACTGGTAAGTTGCATGCTGTGAATTGCCAGTTAAAAACGTTGCCTTGTCTGGAATGTGTGTGTGAAAGAGACATAAAAACAGCTAAATATTTGCAACTGCCTGTATCAGGACTGACTTCTGGTTTAGAAAAGGACTGGGACAATAGAAAATGACATACTGAGGTGAAAAATCTCCAGATGGTGAACTTCCATTAACCTGAGCCCACAGTTCTTGACCGCAAGTGTCAAAAACATCTTATTTTCAGTCTGAAAATAAGATAATTTTTCCAAAAGAAAGCTACTTTTTGGAACTAGTTGCATGGTTAATCATCTCAACCTGGAGCTTTATATGCCCTCTGCAGGCAGCAAATTTGCAGTCAGTGAGATGATCAGATGACTGAGCAGTGAGATAAAAGCTGGCCTCTGTGTGCCTCCACACTTGAGGTATTTTTATGACTGGCTATTAAACTGTGGGATGAATAATATACATTTAATAAAGACAGGGGATTGATAAAACATTCAGCAACATATAAATCTGTGGTCAATAAAGTGTCAGAGTTGGAGCTTTGCAGCTCCATATTGACAGAGTAATACTATCTGACCTCTGGAAATAGACTTCAGGGACAATGTAGAGCAGGACATGAGTGTTGTGCTGTATGCTTTGGTGGTGTGTGTGTGCGCACGTGTGTGTCTTACCCAAATTTAACTGTGCATTCTGCAGCTGCTTGGACTTTTAGTTATAGTATTGTAACCTATAGAAATGCCACTCAAGACTATAACCACAAGACACCACACTCACAGTAACACACAAACACAAGAAAATGTAGAAGATGGAGAGGAGGATGTGGTGGAGGAGTGTGTTACGAGTGTTAGGAGGGAGGGAGTGCAGAGAGGATAGTTGCAAGAGGAAGGCAAATAACGTAGCCCTGATTTATATTAGTCTCTTAGAGTATTGTAAAAAAAAAAAAAAATCCCAAAACACCCATTAACAAATGTCAAACAGCCAAAACTCAATTCAGGTGCACACATACAAAGAAATAAAACCACAAGCGATTCCTTTCTTTTTCCTTCCTTCAGCCTACACAATGATACAGTATGTGCATAAGTCTGAAATGTGTTTAGAGCAAATATTACACTTGTGTCCTCCTCCACTCTCTTCTAATAGAGCGTGAGTCCGACTCAGCAGCTGGTGGTCAGTGGATGGTCTGTCAGTGAGGTCAGTAGAGCAGCAGAGCAGACAGGATAGCCTCAGAGATGCCATGCATGTTGTTTTATTTTAGGGCAGCTTCTGTGACAGACATTATTGTGACAGCGTTGAATGTTACTCTCCAAACTGACTCTGGACCAGTGCAGCAAAATAGGTGGATTTTTAAAATCCAAACTTTTAGGACCATTGGGCTCAATAAGCTTTGGTTTTAGATTAAATGGATTTGTTGTGATATGAGGGTAGAGAGGCAAAATTTTCCTCTTATACTGATTTTCCAGGATTGTCTGGGTGTCTTTTCCTAAACGCTCATGTTAACAGCCTATCATTTGCTTGTCTATGGACAACGATTGCAAGCCAAAGTACGTCTGAGAGGCTACTTCAGCAGTTTTTGATGTGCCACATATTTTGTGGCATCCAAGAGAGCATAAGGGCAGGGGCAGCATTTATTTTACAATAATCAGGGAACCTAACCATGATTTGTCTCTGCCCCAGCTGCACTACAATTTTTCATCTCTGCTTCTTTCAGATGATGTCATCAGAGCATCAGACACATGGTTGGCTGCGGCAGCTACTTGTAATACTTCTGAAGCTTTGTCTCACATTTGCTGGGCCTCTGCGACCGCTCAATGGGACAGAATGCACAGCTAAGGGCCCTGCTTCCTACATCCTGGTCTTTACAGGTCACTGGAGTCCACAGGCCTTCCCCAAGCAGTATCCACTGTTCCGGCCCCCTGCACAGTGGTCCAAACTCATAGGTGAGAAAGTCTGCTAGGGACACAAACAAACAAACAAACAAGCAAAATGTAACCTGAACTACTGGACACATGTACTATTACTTTAGACCTGCAACATCAGTTAACGATCAGGGGTTGTTAATTGGCCTCCAGCAGTTATAACGTTCACAGATGCAGCCAATTAAAGGACAGGGATGATGACTACAGTGAGATAAAGGGACATACTGAGCTGGCAGGGACACTAACTCAGCCTCCACCTCACCTAAAAACTTTTTATTCCTCATCATGTGTCAGAGGTTTAGAGCCTCCTTGTCAGCATAAACACACATACATTGAGGTAAAAGACATTTATGAACAAGAAGCAGACATCAATAAGACAAACAGTCTAGGTGTGACCAGGTTTTTCTGTTTATCTAACTTCTGACTAGTGGTATCTTTAAGATTACTTCAACTCAGTCCAACACTACTTCCCACATTTCCACTGGTTTACCACAGTGTTGGCAGTAAAGACTGGAGTGGAGGTTTCAGGGTTGGAGTAGGTGGGCGATGACAGTTGGGGTGTAGTGGGGTCAGAGCACTTACCTAAGAGCTGAGTTGAAGAAGCGATTCAGGACCCTCTACTTTCCAACCCACAGAGTGTGGGATGGAGGCCGGATGTACGTGCATGTGCGCACTGGACTGTTTTTGTGCATCACTTTCTGTGCTGGCCATGGCTTTGTCTGGTTTCCAGCTCTGCCCTGCTGTCCTGTCAGCAGATGGATCATACTCCATATAGAGACAGGCATCAGAGATTCTGACACACCCATAATTTCTTTTAATGGCCCTGGGTAATTGTCACCAGTGGATGTGGGAGGAGGGCACAATCTGCCGCAAGATTTGGGGGCCTGAATTTGTATTTGTGCTGTGGAAACTGGGGGCAAAGGACCAAGGACACTGTCAGAGGGAAGAAGGAATGGAGTTTGTCATGGCCCATGCACAAACAATTTAGGAAGGGTGGAAAGTGGGCTTTAACATCTTGGTGGGGCTGAAATGAGATGTTAGTAAGTTTCAAGGACTTAATGTTTGTAGGAATTTTCTTAGAATGGAAATGTAATTAAGCACATAAGTAATGGCATGTTGGGGAGAAAAACGATAGTGTGTGAAGTGTGCTGTGCAGGTTGTGTGTGTGCCTTGGTACTGTATGTGTCTTAATACATATGTCAGAAGTGTTTAAGTATAAATGCTTGGTTGTGTATGTGTGTGTGCAGCTCTGAAAACTGAGGTAAGACAGAACCATCAGAGCATTTGTTGGGGTGCTTCTGGCTAACCCTACTCTGCCCTGCAAACCACTGGCCCAGGCAAGTGTGACTGTGGGTTTCAATACAGAGCTCAAGAACCTGTGGTACAAACAATTTAACCTAAATCAGACTCTTGATTCATAACAGATAACCAGAACTAAATATGAGAATGTGAAGCAAATGGTTCTCTTGGCCCAAAGGAAAAGAAAATGTATCAAGAAGTATTTTAAAAAGCATTAAAGTAATTTTTGTGCACCATCTGGCTGCCAACTCTGAGATCCCAACCTATCTGCTGGCAGCTCCAGCCTCTGTTGTGGTTTTATCAGTGATATATAGATAAAAACTGTGCAATAATGCCAAAGACAGGCATGTGGGCAGTTCTTTCAGAATTATTTGTTTAAGTCTGTGCAGTGAGTAGGACACAGACACAAGTTCCGTGGTTTCCCTGTCTGGCTGAGGCTCTGTGGTACGTTATTGACAATGATATGTATTCCAGAGAATGAGCATCTTACTCCTCTCTTTTCCTCCTTCTTGTGTTTCATTTCTCCTTTTAGCGGTCAGCCATAATCGCCATTTTCGACTGTGGGAGGAAGGTGCCCAGGCCAGTGCAGGGGTGCAAATCTTTGCTGAATTCGGGTTAACGGTGGAGCTAATGAAGGCAGCCAAGGAGGCCAGGAAGAGACGTGCAGTTGGCACCATGTACCGAACGGCCGGTATCCCTAATGGCATTGGGCACAGCTCCACGGAGTTGCTCATGCTGCCCCGGAGCTCACTGGTAGGCACAAATAAAACTCATTTATAAAAAGCACACACACATGCTCAGACACAGTAAGTCACACAAAGTGTCTGTTTAACTAAATCTACTGAGTCATTTGGTGACCCAGGCTTCCCCATAATGTCGTTCATCCACTTTCACCAAACACTTCAACACTTCTTTCCACTATCCAAGCAAACTATGTTTAGCCCTAATGCTGAAGCCCTGCTGCCACAAACACCCACATCCATTCTGTGTGGTCTGCAGGCTGTCTGCTGCCTGTTCCACTAAACTCAGTCAGCTCAGGATGAAGTTTAGCGAAAGTTAAAGCTACTCCACCCAATTTCTTTTCAGCTGCTAGATGATCTAGTGAGACTCAACAAACTGACAGAATAAGCAGCTACTGACTGCTTTCCCCCCTCCCATCACGTCCTGTTTTCATAGCTATGACATAAATTACAGGTGCCTGGTTGTGACAAACTGTACAAAATGCAGCCTCTAGTCTGAAGCTATTGTTAGCTGACTAATGAGTACATTTGTCAATCCAATAGAAACTAGTCTGAAGCTATTGTTAGCTGACTACTGAGTACATTTGTCAATCCAAGAAGATGCTGGTCATTGCTAATGTACAGTAACACAAAACACAAACGCTACACAAAGCTTGAATTACCCTGAAATTAAACACAAAGGTAAAATCATAACCATGCTAGGTCGCTAACCTTACCAAAACTCGTTTTGGTAATGTGTTAGCTAATGCTAATAGCTAACACGCCCAAAAGGAAGTAGCCATATCTAAGTCTTTGAGTTTGCTCTTACTTTATCTCACTCACTTATCTCAGTGCAAAAGAATGCAACCTCTTTGGTCTGGCAGCTACTGTTTCAGACTTTTAGTTGATGAGAGGTCCCAAATGATTACTGAGAATGTGAAGGTACGTCATGCCATGTGGAATGTTGGGACAGGGGCACCATTTTGGGGGATATGCATACATGCAATGTTACCTGCATACATTCTTGATTTGTTTGGCTAAAAATTTGCTTAAATCATTTAGATAGATCTGGCTGTGGTAATTTTTAATGGAACACTTTGACAGTTTGGTAAATATGTTAGTGTTTTTTGCTGAGTTAGATGATAAGATTGATACCACTCTTATGTGTGTATGATAACTATGAAACTACTCCCAGGAGCTGGTTGACTTAGCCTAGCATAAATACTGGAAACAGGGAGAAACCGACTGTCTGGTGGTATCAAAATCTGCTTGCCTGGACTTCCTAAGCTCTCTAGGTCACATGTTATATCTTGCTGTTTAATTTCACTAAAAACCAAAGACAATATTACATGTTGCAATGTTATGGGGGCTATGTGTTGGACTTTTTCATGGCTAGGCGTAGTCACTTCCTGGAGTCTTGTCATCCCCGACATAACTCCTGCAGATTGCAAATTGTTATTTTTACATTTTGATTTTTGTGCAGATTAATTATGTGTTCATTTGTGAATTTGCAGTGGCTGGATTTTATTACATTTAAACAGAGGTTAACTAGCTCTTTATGTTGTTTGTTTTCAACCTTTATGCTAAATAGTTGCTTACCACATTAACACAAATATGAGAAAGTTATCAATAATCTCATCTAACTCTTGGCAAGTAAATAGTCTAAGTATGTTTCCCAAACTGTCAAACTATTCATAGCATAGATAGATAGATCCTATTAAGTCATGATCCAATATTCTCACATGCTCTTATGCACACTGTTGGTTCTTAGAGTTGCTGGTTGTTGTAATTCTTCCTCATCACTACAACCAGCTTTGAAGTAATCCCTTCTTTCCATGACAACAGACATGCAAGCCCTTGTTTTTGTGAAAAACGACATTCTAACATTCAACCAAAGCTAATATGAGGCTTCAGCAGGTCAGTGTCATGCAAGCCCTTGTTTTTGTGAAAAACTACATTCTAACATTTAACCAATATGAGGCTTCAGCAGGTCAGTGCTAACCAAATCATGCGGATTTATTCCAGGAATGTTTCAGTGTAAAATTCCCTCTTTGTGTTACCATTCCACTAATGCAGCTCTGCAAGGCAACACTGTCCAGGGAAGCACAGCAAGGAAATGTTGTACTAAACCAACTGACTGTGGAAGATACTCATTTGGTTTAGCTAACCTAAATTACAAAATCAACATATTAGCCAATTTTCCAAGGCTGGTAAATCATCTGATAAATGTGGACTGCTGTGAGGCTGCAGGTTCAGAGTCTACATAGGGTACAACTCTGCTCATCACTGGACAACAGGACACTGCTGCTGAATAGCGAGTGATTATTTGGAAGCTAAGATCATGGTTGTTTTTTGGGGGCTTAGGCTAAATTTGGAGCCAGAGATTAGACAAAGACAAAGGATTTGAGATAGGAATGAGATATGGCAATGTCAAAAAAAGGAATGTGTCATACTATTCACAGAATTAAATCTAGAAATAAATTGCTGTCTATGTGTAAAACATATATAGCTAATGAATCAGAGGGAAGGAGGTAACAAGGAACGGCAGATGTTTGTGTTACTATTCCTCTAATGCAGCTCTGCAAAGCAACATTGCAGGATTTTAGAAGTAGGTGTATGCCCGTCTGAACGTCTAGTGACCTGCATTTGTTTGCTGGTTATTCTACTGCCTGAACCCAAGGGCCCTTAAAAATCATAAATAGTTTTGTCAGAGGGCATCTTTAGCGAGTTTATGTTATAGACAGTTGCTTATTAGCTTGCTGTCTAGGTACATGATGCCTGCTTTTGCTTTTAAGCTGTTCTGTTTGGTTTTAGACCAGTAAGATCATAAATATGGTTTGACTTTTGTGTGTTTGTGTTGAACATGATTTGAATTTGTTCACAGCTTAAACTGATATTTTGCATTTATGTTCATCTGTTTTTCTCTCTCACACTATTTTTTTCCTTTTTCTCTTACCCACAAACCAAAACACTTACGCAATGTCCCAGAAATCCCAAACACATATGATTTCTATCTCCATTTTACGAGCCTCCTGTTATTGTCGTTAAATTTGTAATTCAAAACAGCAAATAAATACTACCTAGGATCCAACTGGCATATTCTTAAAGGTTCAGTATTTTGTAAACTCAGTGGCACCACAGAAAATGGGACCGTAATGACTGAGTATTAAGGTGCTGGCGCTACTAGACTGGTTTGCATGTTTTCTTCAAGAACTCATTCTCTCCGTAGCTCTGCAGAAGATTTGGTGTGATGGAGGAAGAGCGAGAGGGATCATGGGAGCTTTAAATACATTTCTGTGCTCTAGAGAAACTGTTTGGCCTGTAAATTGCAAAATGGACTGAGCAGGCCAGTGACAAGGGTTACCCCTGAATAGACATGCTTGCTGAGTGGCCCAATGGATCTAACAGGACAGCAGGATTCTGAAAAGCAATAAATCCACTTCTGATTTGGTTTTTCTGCTTCTTTCTGTGCGTCACTGGCAAAAAACAGACCTCATGTGTCATGCTGACACTACGTGCTTTTGTGTGCCTAGTGGTCTGCTCTGCTTGCTGAACTGGTTTGATGTCTGTTCCAGCACTCTTTCTTTAGGCCACCCATTCTTACCCACATCCAAAGCTGTTCACTTTCTGTATGAGGTCAGCAGTTCTCAGGAAACATCCATCACACAGGAGGCACAGCATAATGCTGCACAGGAAACTGAGTGGATGCATGCATGTGCACACATGCAGTCTCAGTTCCTGCCTTTTATAAGGCTGAGACTGATGGTAATGACATTAGTTTTGCAGATATTTAGCCATAAACCAAAGTATGATGATGATGGTGCTAGAAGAAAAGTTAAGGGATTGTGAAGTAATAACAATTCATCCTTAGGGGAACATTAATGTGTGCAGGAGAGTGCAGGGCAATCCATCCAGTCGTTGATATATTTAAGTCTGACTTTACCAACTGGCCCCGACTTTAGTCTGTAATAGTTGTATTTGTTATGTCTGTCTGTTCTCTCTATGCTGTGTCTTAGCTGTAAACTAAACTTCTCTTTTGGACAGTAAAGTCTGAACTAGCTGCATTCTCTCCCTGTGATTACCAGTTGTCCCTGATGGTGAAGATGATCCCTAGCCCTGACTGGTTTGTGGGTGTGAACAGCCTAAATCTTTGTGAGGGCAGCCAGTGGAAACATGAAGTAACCATTGACCTCTACCCTTATGATGCGGGGACAGACAGTGGATTCACTTTCTCATCTCCCAACTTCCACACCAGACCCCCAGAAAACATAACAGAGGTGAGCTTTTTGCAAAAGTGCAGTATAAATAAGTACAAAAACAGCATTAACCAAACATTCATTTAGTCATTTGTACATTAAGTTCATGACAAGACAAAATAAAGTGCACGTCCTCAGCATGGGCAGCATCAAAGAAATGGGAAAACACTCTTCTACTTCTGTGATTGCTCGGTGGCCCTCATGCCTGATCTGGAGTGATCTGAGTAAAAAAGGCCTCTCTTACATAACAGACCATCCGTCATTTCCCTGCATGTGATTTAAAGTGAGCTATTGTGTATTTCAACTTATCTTGACAATCTGTTGGCTCTCTTGATGAAATACACCTGACTGTTCTTTGCTGACTTGTTCAGATCACGTCTCAGATGCCAAACCACCCAGCCAACTCTTTTTACTATCCACGCTTAGAGAAGCTTCCACCTATTGCCAGCTTAAGAATCACTCGACAGAGCAGATCAGCTGATCGCCAAGCCCCCATGTCCAATCATATTCTGCCTAACTCTATCAGTCCCCAGCGCTTCTCAGGTAAGACCACAGGACTTTATTATGACCAGACATTGACTGACATGACTTTATTATGACCAGACATTGACTGAAATGAATGGGCAGGAGTAAAAGACAAACACGTCACATACTTATTGTTAGTTGTATTGCATTAAAGTTCTATATGGTGCTATTTCTCTTAAATACGTAGATCCAACCTAAACAATTAAACTGTGTAAATCCGTACACTCCTATACAAGCTCTTGAAATTTACAACTGTTTTCTCAACATTGTGCCTATAAAAATATGTTTTCTTCCAGCTCTGCTCCCAAACTGTGGTATAATCTACCAGCAGAAATAAAACAGGCAACTTCAGGAGTCTGTTTTAAAAAGCAGCTGAAAACCTATCTTTTCAAATGAGCTTTTAATTAATGTATTTGTATCTGGTTTTATCATTTTTTCCCCATATGTGAAGCACTTTGAGCTACTTCATTGCACAGTGGTAGAAAAAGTACCCAGATTGTTTACAGTAACAAAACTACAGTGTAAAAAATACTCTGTTACAAGTAAAGGTCCTGCATTCAAAATGTTACATAAGTAAAAGTACAAAAGTTAATGTATATTATTGGATTATAATTATTGAAGTGTTATTGTGTTCATCACATTTAATGTTGAAACTGGTGAAAGCGGACCTAATTTTAACCACTTAATACTGTATTCTGCTTCATTGTCTGAATTGTACTATATAAATAAATGACTGAGTTATAAAACTAAATGTGGTTACATTATTACACTACATTATTAGTCAAAGTGAAACACTATATAGATCATAAAGAACTCTCGTGAGTATGCCAAAATACTATGAAGCAGCCCTTGTATGAGCAGAGAATTGTAAAGCATCTACATTCCTTTCTCTTTGCTCTTGACTCACATATCTCTCCTCTCTCTCATGTCAACACAGTGACACCGCTGGACTGTGAGGTGTCTCTCTGGTCATCTTGGGGTTTATGTCTGGGTCCTTGCTCCAGAGGTGGTGTTCGCCACCGCACACGTTACATCCTTTTGCGGCCGGCTAATGCTGGCACCCCATGCCCTGAGTTGGAGGAACAGGCTGAATGTGTACCACACAGCTGCATGAACCTCCAGTAACCCACAGAGCACACAAGAACAGATGCTGCCAGTATTCAACACTGGGACTCTCATGTTTTTACTGCTGGACTGAGAAATGTTGCTGTGTCTTGATTATCTCCTCAATAATGAAAAAAAATTGATTTTTCTTTGTCCCAGCCAAAATTTAAATGGCATGTAAGAGAAAATGAGATTTGATTGTAGCAGAGATTACTGGACAGATATTAAGATGTATCATAACACTATAAATGGTTAGGTAACAATTCTATATAAATGTATGTGGATGCAAAATAGAAAAAAAACTAAGTAAAAGATGCATTACAAATGTGTCCCCGCAAAGACCTCTAGGAGATGCAATAGTACTGTATGTATGTATTTACAGTTTGTTTATTAACAGCAGTATTGTAAGTGTACGCTGACAATGGCATACCTGTATCATCAGTGCATAACATTCACAAACACATGCACACAGAAATCTCCACACAAATATCCTTGCACATAATGCATACCTTTACAGGTGCAGAGGCCTTAGTTTACATAGGAAACCTACACTTGATTAGCACAAGCAGCTCTCTCAAAACAACCTCACTCCACAATGTATAAATATGACCTTTCACATGCCATTTAATAGCTGACTTTAAGGTGGTCTGTTTTATAACAATATGCAGGTTGTTGTAGAAAGAAAGATACAGTTTTGTATTATTTTCTCTTTTGATATTTTAATTCTGAGATTTTGTATATACTCTATGATGTATGAATAAATGAAAAAATGTGGAGGTGTTTCCTTGTTCCCCTGTATGGCTTTTGAATTGGCAAGTGTTATTATGTAAATGGAACATCTAAATTTAAAACTATAAAACCAAAGAACATTCTGCTGTTGTGCAGTAACAATGTGATAAAGTCAACTTATTTGTGTATGCCAGATCATACTGACACTTCTTTATTTGTGTCCAACCAACACAGTCTAAATGCAAAAATACACATCTATTTATATCAGAGTATAAAAAGACTATGATGCCTTATAGTCACTGAAATAGAAGCCACATTTCTACACATTTACAGATGAAAATTATATATATTTGATCTCTGCCCTAAAACCTGATAATTCGGTGCCTTGTGGACCTGGGTTACTTTCTTTATGGTATTTTGAGGGTTAATGAATATAAATACCAACGTTTTTGCTAACAGGAACTGTAACTGTCAGTATTCACATTGGCAACAATAAATAAAATAAAAATCCCTATAAATACTTAACCCCTGGTCACAGCAGTAAAAGGCTTGTGGCAATGTAGCGCCACCAAGTGGTCACAGTCAACATCATACTACTATTATCACTGTTGCTGCAACTAGTGACTGCTACTAACACAACAAAGATAAGAAATGGAAATGAGATCACGTTGAGAATGATAAACTAGTGACTGCTACTAACACAACAAAAATAAGAAATGGAAAAGAGATCACGTTGAAAATGATGAGGTATCTGTACGATTTTATCTACATTTATGATAGTTTTATTAAAGTCTGTATTTCCTTTATAGTGTTTGTTCACTGTAGGCCTCTAGGTGTATTACCTGTACAGTGCAATCAATTACTCCATTATTTTTACTGAATGTGCCACTCTTAAATTAAACTTAATTATTATTAAAGACAAGGGGTACTGCCCAGATCATGTTGTTGTGACGATGTTTGTGCAAAGATTTTGCACAAACATTGTCTCCCCAATGGAGAAACCGCTCCAGGCTGAAAGGGACCCAACATGACTACAAACAACACAGTGTTGGCCATGTTATCTCTATTTGCATTCTTTTTGTGTCTCTTTGTAATTGTTTCACACGTTTTTGATGTGTTTTATTACTCTGCGGTTGTTTTGTATCCTTATGGAGTTGATTTAAGTCTATGATGCAACTTTTGTAGTTATTTTGTGTGTCTTTGCAATATTTTTTGACACTATGTGTTGTGATCCATCTCTTTTTGGTCATTTTGTATTTATTTGTCATTTTGTGTGTCTGAAGTAGTTTTGTGACTATATATTGCAATATATAGTAAATGAGAAATTCTAATTTTAATATTTTGTTTTAAGCACTTTTTATAATACAGTTAAACATGTTATGTATGTTATATATGTGAAAAATTAATAATATTGAATGTATTCAGTTTTTCATAACTAGTAAATATCAATATTGGTATTGGCCTTAACATTCAGTCAGTAGAAATAATATCCAACTTAATCAAAGTAATTAAACTTTTTATCTTATTCCAAGCCTTCGCTGTAACACTGCGGAACATTTTAAAAAGATAAAGCATGCTACAGTGCACAGTGTGACCCTAATATGTAGGCCTTCACTAGAGGTCGCTGTTTCCACTTCTGCGCTCTGTCTCCGCAGTGCTGCCTGTCGACGAGGAGTGCGTTTGATTGTTGCAGGGCTCAATGGCGGACAGAGGAGGATAGTCGCGTTAGCACCGAAGACAATAACATCTCGACTGTGTGAATCCCTGGCGTGCCTCGGTCCACCGCTGCGTGTCCATCGGGTGCACCGGTTGAAACGAGCTCTCTTGTACAGCAATATTAAATACAAAGTCGCTGCAGCCATTTTCCGCTCGTCTTCTCGCATTCTTGAGTTCCTATCCCGAGCGGAGAAGTTAGACTGTTCATGGTGGCTCAGTGAAGATAGCTAGCTTGCGAGCAAAACCATGGGGGAGTCTTTCGAGCTGATAGGGAGGCGTCTGTTTTTGCTGCTCGACGACGGCAGGTCCGCGAATGGAACCGAAACGGAGCAGGTTGCCAGGTCCCGGAATTGGCTCCGGGGGACCGTGCGGGCAGTGAGCATCATCGGCCTGGCCTCCTCGGATGTTAGCGGAGGAGAGGCGACAACAACAACCTCTGCTGCAGGGCTGACGGTCAGTGTTTACATACAAGTGAAGCCGGACTGCATAATTAAGTTAAATATTCAGCTAGTAAATAAAAACCGTGCTAGCGATTATATGTGCCTTCAACGACACTTAACCCGTTTTTAAGCGTTAACGTTGGCACATTTCTTGCTGGTTAACATTAGCTCATACAAAGCGTTACAGTATAACTAGCTACAGGTCGCAAGCAGTGGGGCGAAGCTAAACTCGAGGGCGGGGATTTTCCGGCCTTTGCTTTGTTCGCGTTTTGGGTTCGCTTTTTAACGAATGACATTTAGGTCCAGCAATAATATAATAATATTTGAAACGTCGTAGTAGTTCATCGCAAAGGACGGATGCGTTGAAGCTATGCGAACGATCACGATATAGTAACAAATCTCTGGAAAGAAGTGTTGAATAGCAACATTAGTTAGGTTGTCAGATCCCATCGCTAAGCTAACGTTAACTAACTAAGTAACGATAGTGCAGTTAAAGGCCTTGCAAGTTTATGTCAGGGTGAACCAGGTCTATCTTCGAGTTTATTTGGGGGTTCTGGTCATTAAATGTTCAGGTTAACACTGAAGTTTGAAACCTTATAAACTAATATTCTCAAGATGTGTGTTATCTAGGAACAGCCGAAAGAGAGAAACGTACAAAAAGTTATAAACTTAGTTAAAACGCAGGTTGTTAAAATAAGTAGTTATCAGTTTAAAATTTTTATTTAAGTAAACACCATTTGTGCAGTGCAAAAGATGTTACCAGTTAGCATGTAATATTATAACCAACAAAACAGATTTATCAGTGTTTTGATGAATTGAAATAAAAATCCACTAGTTGAAAACTGTAGAATGATAGTGATGTCTACCGTGGCTATTGTATGATAGTTAAACAAAACAGGTTTAATATGTTTAGAAGACAATAATCAGTAATGATCCTTTTTAGTTCAAAAGTGCATTTTTAATTTGTTGGAAGTAAGGAGGCTGGAACAAACCATTAAACCTGGGTTCTTTTTCTGAAAAATACGTGGGTGCAAGTCTGTCTTTTGCAGAACAGGACTGTTTCTCTAATCTGAGGTGTGCATTCACACAAATTAATTTAAATATTGATGGGACTAGAGTACAGATGTCTTTATTTCTGTGTGAGAAATTATTTTTAACTTTGACAAACTAGCAAATCCAGATCAAATGCAGTAAATCTGTGAATGATACAGCTCCTATTCACAAAACCTAATTTTCATTATAACAAGACAAAGGCATGTAGGACCACACACCTGTTCAAGTTTTTCATGTCAGTACCTTGCTGTGTACAGTATGTCATGGTTTACTTAGGATGTCCAAATATTTGTGCTAAGGGTGGTATGCCTACGTTTACTTATTTGATGCCAGGTTTCTAGTTTTGCATGTGACTGGAGTCTGTAGAAAAATGTTAAATTAACTAGCTAATTTTTAAAGAGGATCAGTTGGGATGCTTGATTCAGTGGTGTGTGGTTGGCACCATGTATCTTCTGGATTTTTACTTATCATTTTTGATGACTTACATCTGTGCAAAATGCCAGTGCCATAACCAGTTTACATGATAAATACATAATAACTCGTATTTAATGTACAGATGCAGATTAAACTGAAGATATGAATGAAAATATTGCTTGATAATGTCCTAAAATATAAAAACAAATGTGTAAATTTCTTGCAAATGTAAAAACTGCCCTTCTTTGATGTCACACACTAACATCATGTTAGTTGGAGATCCCATTTACTGGCTGGTTGTGCCAGTAATGAGATGGAGCAACATCATGGCTCAAAAGAGAGCACAGACACTTTGGCTTTGCAAAAATCAATTCATGCTTCAGGCAAAAATAAGTGTTCTGCAAGTCTCAGCACCACTCACATGGCCTGGGAGCCAGTTAATAATATATTTTAAATTAATTTAAAAGGAAATTTGGCATGGCAAATTAATACCAGGATAGTTGGTTTTATTGATATCACCCAACCCTGTCTTTAAGGCTAGACCACTACTTTATGGTACAAGTCCTTCAAGTGTCACTTTGGTAATATCAAGCATAACAAACATAATAATCATGCAGACAGGTGTTACTCACCTGTACTACCCGATGCACTATTTAACACCCATTTGCTGTGCTGTTATCTTTAATTATCTAGACATCTACAAAGAAGAGCAGTGATACCTGATGGAGTTTGATAGGGTATTGCTTTTGAATATTTAAACCTTTATGTTTCCTAGGGAAATGTAAATGGTGAAATCTGACAAAAAGAAATGGAAGTCTCCCTACCGACTACTTCCAGTTATCAATGAAAATGTATTGTCTGTCGGAGGCATAGAGTGATTGGCTGCATGATTTGTTGGAAAAAAAGAATGACACTGATTTGCTTCTTTGAAAACAGTGACCTTGTAGCTCTTGTTAAACTCCGAAATTTCTACCTTGAGTTTAAAAACATCTGAGTTGACTCGAAGCAGTGACCAAGGAAGTCAAGCAGACATACAGTATATCACAGAAGTGAGTACACCCCCTCACATTTTGTAAATATTTAAGTATATCTTTTCATGTGACAACACTGAAGAAATGACACTTGGCTACAATGTAAAGTAGTGAGTCTACAGCTTGTATAACAGTGTAAATGTGCTGTCCCCTCAAAATAACGAAACACACAGCCATTAATGTCTAAACTGCTGGCAACAAAAGTGAGTACACCCCTAAGTGATAATGGCCAAATGGGGCACAAAGTGTCAATATTTTGTGTGGCAACCATTATTTTCCAGCACTGCCTTAACCCTCTTGGGCATAGAGTTCACCAGAGCTTCACAGGTTGCCACTGGAATCCTCTTCCACTCCTCCATGATGACGTCACG